CCCGGGTCTCCAGCCTTTAGGTCCAGCAAAGATTCCAGATGTATTCCTTGCTTTTCTCTTGCTCTGATAAAACACCGTGACTGAGACAACTTAGAGAAGAAGGAGTTTGTGTTGGTTTGGGTCCCAGAAGGTTAGCGTCCATAATGGCGGGCTCAGCAGGAACGGGGAGCTGAGAGCTCACTTCCTTGACTATAAGCACAAAGCAGAGAACAAGCTGGAAATGGCGAGAGGATTTTAGCTTTGAAAGCCCACCCTCAGTGATGTCCTCCCTCTAGTGAGGCTGTATCCCCTAAACCTCCCAAACACCACCGCCAACCGGGAACCAAGTATTAAAATAGGCCTATATGGCCACACAGTGAGTCCCAGGTCGGAGGACCCTGCCGGTATGCCCTGTCTTCCCATCATCTCTCGTTAGTGTTTATTTTTATTAAGCCTGCATATAGTTTAACAATTAAGTGGACTTTACAAAGCTGAAGTGGAAATTTTGACCACTTTCAACCCTTCTAGTTGATCCCATTTATAATTTTGTTTTATAATAAAATATATTTATTTTATTTTGGTTTTGAGTGATGCCCACTCATTTCTCTCTATGGACATTTTATGTCCTTCTGAGTCCACCAGGCTGGACACGACACAGTCTAATTCTGCTCAGGGTTAGCTTCAGGTACGTCAGTGAAATTACCCTTCTGCACCAAGGACTCTGACCACACCCTTCATGCACCTGTTTGCCAGGGTTTGTTCCACCGTAATAATTCCATTACTTTAAAAAATGACATTTGAAGAAATGAATCCACTGTTTCTTAAGATGCACACGCACATTTACTTTGCATGCTGGGCCTCCTTGCCTCGGGTGTCTAGGATTGCTTTCTTGTTTGAAATCAAACCTCCATCATTTCTCTTAGCAAAGGTGTTAGGTCTCAAACCCGGGACAAGAGCTGAGATGCCTATTAACAGATCAAAGCTGAAGCTGGCCTTCAGGTTCTCCCAGCATCCCTCAGTCCCTATCTGTTACAGGCTATGGCTGGCATACCCCAATCCCTACCCTGAACTCTCCAGCCCAGAGGCTGGGCTGCCCTTCCCTATATAATCCAGCCATTTTGGTTACTTGGGTTTTTTTGGCCCTTTTCCCTCCTGGCCCCTCTTGGTCAGTAGCTCCTCTTTTGCCCTTCTTCCCACCTCCACATGGCCCAGCTCAGTCTGTCCATGTTCACTCTGGACTCTCCAAAATGTGCTCTCTTCTACATCTGTAATAAAAACCTCAACTCCTTAGGAGCAGTCATGTCCTCCTTTTTATTTCTTGTTTTCATTCGGGAGGGAGATTGATTAACTCACTTGTGAGTGAGAATCATTTTACCTGATGCTCTCAGGATACGTTTGAAAGATCATTTTGCTGTGTATGCGATTCCAGCTGTTTTCAGCACACTGCGAACGCTGATCTGCTGTCTTTTCTTTGGTTTCCGTTGCTGTAGTGGCTGGGTTACTTTTCCTTGTAGATAATTTGCTGGGTTTTGTTTTTGTTTTTGTTTCTGGGTGAGTTTAACTTAAAAACTTCTGTGGGTTTTGTGGCAGATTCACTATGATATCAGTATATATCAAACACACACACACACACACACACACACACACACACACACACACACACACACACATACACACATCCTCTAGGAGTTTGTTAGCTTGAAGATGTATGCTTTTCATTGGTTCTGGAAAATTCTCAGCCATTACCTTTGTGAATATTGACCTTTGGCCTTCTCTTCTCTTCAAACTCTCATTAGGGACTGGAGACATGGCTCATACATTAAGAGACATCGATGCTCTTTCAGAGGACCTGAGTTTGGTCCTCAGGACATGTGATTGCTAGGCAGCTTACAGCCTCCTGTAACTCTAGCTCTGGGGGATCCCACCTACTCTTCTGGCTTCCAGGGACATCCACCCACCCACCCCCACATGAATAAAAATAATTCAAAATAAAACTCCAGTTAGACATGTATTCGGCTTCTTATTCATTTATTTATTTATTTTTGGGTTTTCTAGACAGGGTTTCTCTGTGTAGCCTCAGCTGTCCTGGAACTCACTCTGTAGACCAGGCTGGCCTGGAACTCACAGAGATTTGCCTGCCTCTGCCTCCTGAGTGCTGGGATTTAAAGGCGTGCACCACCACTGCCTGGCTTTGACTTTTTTTTTCTAATTTGCTAAACTTTTGTTTATAATTTCTGTCTTTTTACCTGATTCTTAGCATTCTCTTATCTTTTTTTCTTTTTCTTTTTTAAATTACCTGTGTGACCATGTGTCTGTGCAGGAATATGTGGGTGTGAGTTCAGGCATCCATTTATATACATGTCTTCTTCAATGATTCTAGTATTTGAAATCTTACCTGATTTGCTGACTTTCGTTCAAGAATGACTTGTTTTCTAGTATATTTGTAATTTTTTTAAACTGCAATGTCTTATTAGAAGTTTTCTTTGTTGTTTGTTTGTTTTTGGTAAATGACAGAAATTGGTCTGGAAGTATGTTCACATAGAGAGTGTTTGCATGGTTTTGCCGGGTTCCTCAAGGCTCAGGGTCACTCCTCAGCTCCCCATTGTTCACTGATATCTGGAGGGATGGGGCGCTGCGTACCTCTTTAAATCACCTTTGTAAAGATACAGTCTTTTTTAGTGTAGTCACAAGACCCCTCTCGAGCACACCCTCCACTTGAGGCTTGGATCGTGTAGGGAATGTCAGTCTGCACACCCTCAGGAGATGGCTTTGGGCTGATAGACTTGGATTGTGATCGCTTTAGCTTTCCTCTGAAGCCGAGATGGAAGGGCCAGCTTTCCTTGCTGTCCCTCTGTGGCTTAGTTTCTGTGTCTTGTCCAGGGTCTAGTCCTTCTGACTCCAGCGTGGCACAGTGGTTCCGCTTTAGTCTCCTGGAGAGTTTACACCGTCTACCCCCTGCAGCCCCGTGTCCATCAGAAGGTTAAGGCTAGAGATGTTGAAGAAATGCCAGCTTCAGTTTTTGCTCACCTTTCTCTGTTCCTAGTCTGATTCTTTCCTTATTCACCATCTCAGAAGTGCGTTTAGGATAATTTTTTTTTTTACAGCTATTTTATTCAGCATTTTTAGCTGTTGATCATGGCAGGGTTATTGAGGACATCGCAGAGGACTATTGTAAGCCTTGTGGCTTTATTTATAGCGTGCATCTTTCCGTTCTTACATCTTTCTGTAGTCTGCTCTCAGGGAGACAGTATGGTTCAATGTGAGCTGTGCTCCGTCTGCCTGTGGCCAGTCTTTTCCTCCAGTGGAATTCCTGCAGCTGCTTGGGGGTCTGAGAATTCCACTCCTATCATCTCAGGAAGGGGCTATCACTGGGCTTCTGCCTTTTTTTTTTTTTTTTTTTTTTTTTAGGCTCTAATGGAGCTAAATTTATTATCTTCCTTTCGCTCCTGGCTTCCTAGCCTTGGGGCATCCTTCTGACTTTCTGCAACTCCCTTTTTTCTTATTTTCTTTGAGAGTCATTTTTGTTATTGTACGCAGTTAATCAAGAGGGTAGAGAAAGCATCCTCATGCCTCGGTGCCTCTTCACCTTTTCTGGGGATGCCAACTGCCTCCGAAGCAGAGAAGGAAGAGTAAGACTAGCATTCCCTGTGGGTCGCTGCCATTCATAACCTTAGGGACTTCATGGCTGCCTCTGGTTCACATCCAACTTGTAGCTTACTGTGGGCCTTGCCCGTCAAGCTGGGACCCCAGAGAAGCCCATGTGCCTGAGTGACTCCCCTCCCCTCCAGGGAACCTCTGTTCATTATCACCTCCAGGAAAGAGAACCAGGGCATGAACAGTCATTCTCAAGGAACTGGCGGAGGGAATAACCCCCACCACCACCACCACCACCGAGAAAGCTCTCAGACTCTCCTAGGGCAGTTTGTGTACTCCCCTCCCAACCCACCTCAAGTGAGCCATTGGTCACGCCCCTTGTTATTGAACCCTTGAAACATGGCCAGCAAGGGACTGGAGAGATGGCTCAGTGGTTATGAGCACTGGCTACTTTTCCAGGGGACCTGGGTTTGATTCCCAGCACCCACATGGCAGCTCACAACCATCTGTAACTCTGGTCCCAAGGGATCCAATGCCTTCTTCTGGCCTCCAAGGGCACCAGATGTGAAAGTGATATACAGACATACATAAAGGCAAAACACCCCCACACATAAAGAGGGCAGCAGTAAAATATGAACTGGACTTAAAGGTTTAATACAAAAATTTATTGCTATTTTGATATTTCTTATATCAAGTTCCTTTTGGAATGATATTTTGAATATGTTGAATAAAATAAAATATTTCACATACATATATATTTTAAAGTGGCTACCAAAGTTAGTTTTGTGGATTGTGGGTTTCTCTCACTTAATCCTGTGGGCAATACTAATCTAAAAGATAACTTGTTCTTTCTATTTCTTTGTTATATTTAGATACAAATGATTTTTCTGCCTGCCTGGGTCTCTGCTTATCAGATGGTTTAACATTTTTGCCTTGGCTTATAAACATAGAAATGACTTCATTCACTTCCCACTGAGAATTTCCCATGGTTTCACAGGCTCCAAGCCTAAGCACAAAGAGAAATATTCTCAAATAAGGAAAATAAAAATGGGGGGGGGGGTATAAAGATTTAATTTTTCAATTAGTGTGTGTGTGTGTGTGTGTGTGTGTGTGTGTGTGTGTGTGTGAGCAGTGCATGTGTGTGCAGGTGCCCTTGGAGGCCAGAAGAGGGCGTCAGAATCCCTGAAGCTAGAGAGCAAGGATTTGTGAGCCACTCAGTGTGGTGCTGGGCTGGACTCCAGTCCTCTGTAAGAGCAACAAGTTCTCTTAACTGCAGAGCCATCCCCCCAGGCCCCCAGATGGAGTTTTTAAGAAGTCATGAAGTTGGCAATAACCTCCAGGGGTCCACTTGGGGTGCTGAAAGTTTCTTCATGTTTACTTTTCAAAAGCCATTGAGTTTCCCCTGATGTATTTGCTTGTTATTGCAGCCACCACAAAGAACCATTGGACAGAAAGCAACAACACTGAACCCCACACAGGAAACACCCCCTTTTATCAGAGTCAAGGGGACCATTCAGGTTCCAGGAAGGGATTGACAACTCAGACTGCCAGAATGAGCCGCAGTTCTTCAGGAGCCCCAGAAAACCCCTCTTTCCTACCTGAGACAAGTGCTGAGGGGAGGAACAAGTCTTCCAGCCGAGCAAACGTCCCTGTTCTGCATGCCGGACGCTCGCCTGAGATCACCACGACCCTGACCGACCACGGCAGCTCCTCGTGTGAGTGTGTCATGAGGTTCATTTATATATGTCCAGTCCTAGAAAACACATTTTCTGCCTCCTTCCCACCCCACCCCCACATCCAGAGCGACTGTGCCCATTTAGGGGTTCTGCATTGGGGTGTATCAGGCAAGTCCTCCTCAGGGCCAAGCTTGTAAAGTCAGACCAGCAGGAGGTGCAGATTTGCCCGACATCCTGGCGGGTCCTTTGACATCTAGGCTCCAAGGCAGTCTAAATCCATACCACCTCCCTCCTCCCGGGCTCCCGCCACGCAGTCGCACGTCCCAGGGGTTGGGAAGGATGGCGAAGCTTTGTTTGTGTCGATGGAGTTTGACTGGTTCTTGCTACTCCAGTCTACACAGTAGGTAACTTAATATTTTCAGTGAAAGGCTTCAAAACGAGGCCGCAGTCCTAAGAGTACAGCTCAACCTAAGAGCAAAGACAAAGAGAAGTAGCGCTAATTAGGCACACGCCTACGTAGCAACGACGAGCCTGCTCCCCCAAGCCTTCCAGCAGCCCGGTGAGGCCGTGTTGTTCCCACTCTAAGGTTTTGGAAACTGAGGCTCGGAGGCTAATTAACCCAGCATGTGGAGAGCAGGCAGCGGGTTTCCAAGTGAGGAGAGCCCGAAGTCTGTGTGTTGAGTGAGTGGGCCCTCCAGCTCAGGAATGGGGTGCCCAGTGTGAGCGAAGATAAAAGAGAGAGCAAAGTACGTGTGGGCTTCCTGTGGGGCATCAGTGCCCGAGTCCTCCCTGGGAGAGTTACAGAACAGTGGGCAGGACAGCTAGCTCTGTGGAGGGTCGGGACAATGATGGTGTACTTTGCAAGCTCGGCAGTTTCGACGCGGTGTGCTGGGAAGACTCGCTGAAGGGTTTTGCACAACGGAGTGATGGTGTTAAAAACAGTTTGAGAGAGGAGCCAGCCTCTAAGATGTCTAATATGGGAGTAAAGGGGACCTGAAGTGAGCTGAACCATCCAGGTAGACATCTAGGCAGCAAGCGTTGAGCAGGTGAAGGTGTTGAAAAATCGCTTAACAAAGGAGGGACAGGGGAGCCCACCAAACAGGTGCAGAAACCCTGGATTCAGTCCCTGGCACCGTATAAACCACATGTGTGATCCCAGCATTCAGGAGGTGGAGGCAGGAGGATCAGAAGTTCAAGCTTGGGCTGAAGAGACGGCTCAGCGGCTAAAATCACTTTTCTACAAGACCCAGCTTCGCTTCACTGCACCCACATTGGACAGCTCACAGTTACCAGTACTCTAGCTCCAGGGGATTCAATGTTCTCTTCTGGCTATCATAGGCACACACACTCACACCTAAAAATAAAAACAAATCTTAAGAAAAAAAAAGTTGCTAAAGTCATCTTTGAGTTTGAGACCAGCCCGTGCTTCATGAGACCCCACCTCAAAAACTAAAATAAAAAAAAAAAAAAAAAAAAAAAAACGATCCTAGCACTCAGGAGGCAGAGGCAGGTGGATCTCAGTGAGTTCAAGGCCAGCCTGGTCTACGTAGGGAGTTCCAGGACAGCCAGAGCAACATAGTGAGACCCTGTCTCCAAAACAAAAACAAAACAAGAGCTGTGTCAACCAAAGGGAGGTTGATAGTTGGTGAAGACCTCAAAGAAGAGGTTGAAGCCATCGAAGGTGACCTCCTGGCTTCATACCCTTGGGACAGGTCTGACTGGGGGCACTCAGCTCTGTAAGGGAAATGTATGAAGGTATTTCCTGTTCCATCTGTGAATGGAGACCGCAGAGCTCAGAAGTCCAGCATGGGATACTCTCTGGTTTGCCTGATTGTCCAGTGTGGGGAATTCTGCATACATTGAATTCTGGGACATTCTGGGACCCTTTATAGAAGGTGAGGGATAAGTCTTCAAGGTCCAACACTGATCTCTAACTCTAGATCGTCTAAGGCTTAGCATCAGAGTGCTCCATTCCTGGTAATTTCTTCCCCTGGTGAGGGCCACTGATGAGGTCAAAAGACCGTCTTTGGTTGGTGGTTTCTCTTGAAGTTCATTTTTCCTAAAATGAATGATTCTTCCCGCCTTCTCCTCACGTCTGTGTGTTTCATGGAAGCCGAAGTTGAGCCCTCTAGAGGTAATGAGACGTTTGGAAGCCCGCTGGTGGGATTTTAATTGTTATTGTCTGCCTTTTAGCCTTGGAGAGCTTCCCCCAGTCTCCCGACAGTTCCAGGTCAGAAGGAAGAATCACCGTCCCTCAAACTGAGAGTGGAGTATCCCCGGACTTCCTGGAGAGGGCCAGGGAGCTCCCAGAAGAAGGGACTGTGCATACACAAATGGTTGGCACTGGGGTGTCCAGCCAAGCCTCCCTTCCTGCACTGGAACCTGGGAAGCCAACCGTGCTCTTCCAGAAGAGAAATTCATCAGGCCCGGAGCACTCTGGGCTGCAGTTCTCTTGGACCCAGAGTCGACCACCTCCCTCAGACCATCCCTCGTGTGAGTACTCCTGTCCCCAATTCACCCTTCCAATGTCACAATAACCCCAAATCAATGTGTATAACTAGCTGGTTAAGTACTGTGTCAGGCCAAGAGTGAAGCAAAGAAAGATTTAAAAGTCATTCCTTCCACGTCAAGTGCTTTGGGTGGAAGTATGGTCTATGCAGTTTATCTCAGTATTGAGGATCATGCTCAAAATACGTTTTAACTGTATATGGAGGGAAATATCAGCCAGTCTGGTGGCCGCTGTGTCCCCACCTCCTGTCCCCTTCCTGTCCCCCCTTCTCTATACACACGTACAACAAAGGTTAAGTGTGACTGATGTGTGTGCTTACAGGAGAGGCCACATGCCAGAGGCTTGAATGAAATGCGAGCCGGACACCGTTATACCATTTGATTAGCAGTTTGAGTTTCGTTTGTTTATTTTTGCAAAAGCAGTTTCTTTGATAGCAGAGAAAATAGGTCCGTAATTTTTCCTGGCATTGTTTGGAAAGAAGTAGCCTACCCAGTACAGGTGTTTGCACGGCTTTCGGTCAGTCCTGGGGCCGCAGAGAATTCCCCTGTCCCATTCCGCCATGCTGCTTCCCATGCGCCAGCCCCGGCGAAGCCATTCTGTTCCACAAGCATTTCTCCTCTCTGCTAGGCCTCTACGCCACCCGCTTCTCCAGCTCGTCTGAGGCCTGCCTGCCTGCCTAGAGACCGCCGTCCTCCCGAGGACACTTCTAGAGCAATGTTCAGTAGTTAAGGATTGGGGGCTCACATGTGCCCAGATTCCCCCGGGAGGCACATCCTGCCATGAGCCAAAGAGATGGTGTGAACTGCCCCTCTGTGTGCTGTTCAGGTTGTTTCTAGTCTTGGGCTGTGGGAAGCAAGACAGAGTGGCAGGATTGGCACTTTCAAGACCCTTTTAAGTCAGAGAGGTTTTTGTTTTGTTTTTATTTTTAAAAATATATATAGCATTTTATTTATTCTTTGAAAATTCCATGCATGCATACATATTTCAATCATGTTTAGCCCCTCCCATAATCGCCATCCAACTCCTCCAGACTCCTCCCAGATCACCACCATTTCCTAACTTCATGTATGCCCACCTTCCCTCCCTTCCTCATTCCCTCCCTCCCTCCCTCGCTCCCTCGCTCCCTCCCTCCCTCCCTCCCTCGCTCCCTCGCTCCCTCCCTCCCTCCCTCCCTCCCTCCCTCCCTCCCTCCCTCCCTCCCTCCCTCCCTATGAATCCGTCCTTGCTGCCCATAAATGCATGGCTGTGGGGCCACCCACTGGAGCATGGTCAACCTACCAGGAACCACACCTCTTAAAGAAAACTGACTCTCCTCCCCAAGCAACCGTCAGCTATCAATAGTACCTCAGTTCAGGGTGAGGATTTATGTGCTGCTCCTCCAACCATGAAGGCAGAGGCTTCTTAAAGTATTCTGCAAGACTGGGAGTTTGCGTTTATGTCATCAAAGTAAACCCCGAGCCCAGAAGTCTTCTCTGGACTACCCATGGAAAGGGGCCAGTCTTCTCGCATAGGCTGGCCGTGTACTTCCGGCTGTCGGGTGTGGACAGAATTCACGGTTCATGTTTGCAGGGGATTGCTTTTTAAGATGGTTCGTAAGTGGCTTGGAGAGATGGCTCAGTGGTTAAGAGTCCTTCCCGCTCTTCCAGAGAACCCATATCAGGTGGCACACTGAAGTTACAACTGTCTGTAACTCGAGGTCCAGAGGATCAGATGTCCTCTTCTAGACATACACAAGTACATGCACACAAACGTAGACATCTGTGTAAACAACAACAACAACAAAAATCTTTTAAAAAAAAGATCATTCATGAGCATTAGTTGGATTAGACAAAAGCTATGATCCTGGGCAGCCTGAGTTCTGTGGCTTGGTGGTTTACAACCAGCCTAAAAGGAAAAGAAGCTTTGCTAAAAGGAAAAGAAGCATTTCCAAGGGATGTCCACTGTGGTTCTGATCAGAGTCATTTAATATTAATATAATATTAATATAATAATATAATAATAATATTAATAATTAAACCTAGTACTGTGGTATATTCCAAAGGAGTCCACATTCCTAACTTTACTGGACCGGACTTGATCTTCATCTGTTTATTTAAAAGGTAACTGACCCTCCTAGTCTTCCTTTTTGTTTCTTTTTCTTTTCTTTTCATGGAGTTTTTTCTACATATGGAGTTCCTAGCTGTCCTGGAACTCCATATGTAGACCAGGCTGGCCTCGAACTCACAGAGACCTGCCTACCTCTGCCTCCCGAGTGCTGGGATCAAAGGCGTGCACCACCATGCCTGTCTCTGGCCCTCATTCTTTGAGTCGTTGTCCTTCAAGAGCAGTGGTTCTCAACCGTCCTAATGCTGTGACCCTTTAATTCAGTTCCACGTGTTGCTGTGACCCCCAACCAGAAAATTTGCTGCCATTCTGAATCGTAATGTAAATATCTGTGTTTTCTGATGGCCTTAGGTGACCCCCTGTGAGAGCGTTGTTCGATCTCCCAAAGGGATCACAACCCACAAACTGAGAACTACTGTTCTAGAACCTTCCATTTCTAATGTTTGGAGTTTCACTATCTTTCATAGTCCTGGAGTCTTACTGAGGATGTCTCTCCCTTGGTGACCTGGGTGATCTGTTGTAGGTAGAGTCAGGCCACCCTCTAAAGTGGCCACTGAAGAGGACTTTGGTGCAGAGGACATACCCTACCCAGCACCTGAGGCCACCTCTCCTTCTACTGAATGGAAATCCTGAAGGTTCTGCTGTCCCTTTCTGAGTCCATGATACAGGATACAGGCATGCAGGCAAGAATACCAAAGGAGACCCAGCAGGACCTGTCGAGGCAGGTTTGGGGTCAACCTGCCTGGCTGGCCAGCTCAAGCCAAGCCAAGCCATGGAGTACCGGGTCGGGGGTGGTGAGGGATTTCTAGCAATGAGGCCTAGGGAATAGCCCAATACTCAGACCAGTCAGGTTGGTGATGCCCCTCCCAGGATGTGCACACAGGTGACAGGCTAAGGATGCGGCAAGGGATCAGCTGGTCTGGAAGGGGGCAACACTGGGTGGCCCACACACACTCGGGCTGTCAACTGCGCCTCCTGACTGCCACCTGGCTACACCCTGGCTGGGTTTCTGTCAACTCGACACAAGCTAGGGTAATCTGGGAAGAGGGAACCTCCATTGAGAAGATGCCTCCATCAGATTGGCCCGTAGGCAAATCTGTGGGGCATTTTTTTTTTTAATGGTTGGTGTAGAAGGGACCAGCCCACTGTGGGTGGCGCCATGACTGGGCAGGTGGTCCTGGGTTCTATAAGAGAGCAGACTGAGCAGGCCATGAGGAGCAAGCCCGTGGGCAGCACCCCTCCATGGTTCTATTTCAGGTCCAGCCTCAGTGATGGACTTTTACCTAGAACTTTAAAACAAACTGTTTCTTGCCCAAGTGGCTTTTGGCCAGTGTTTTATTAGAGCACCAGAGCACAGACTAGAACGCACTGATCAATGCAGCCTCTTCCACACCCTGAACAGCCAGGGGTTAATCTGTTTCTGAACAGAAACTGCATCTTACAGCACCAAAGCAAGTCCAGGAAGATGAGCCAGGGGTAAGACCAAGAAAGACCAGAAGGCATTGCTCTCCACCCTCTCCTGCTTCGGCCTCTCTAGACTTTCCGTCCTCTCTTCGACGACCATGTAGTGCTGTTTGATCACGGGGGTGGGGGTGGGGGTGGGGCTGTCAACACAGCAACACATGGCAGGGGTGAGGGTGGAGGGGAGGAAGCTCTTCCCAAGGCAGAAATGTGTATGTTGAATTGTGTGAGCGCGACCACAATTGAGCACTAAATTTAGTATGAGCTTCCTGGAAATGGGGGCACAAAGGGAAGCAGGGTGGAGCATACGATTGTTGTTGGACAAAGTAAGCATACGGTTTAGTCCATAGGCATGAATGTTTCAGGGGGCAGTAATTCCAAGAGGAATATTTACGTAAGGAATCTTTCCATTGCCGGTTTGTGAGAATCGCGCTAATGTCCTTTGAAGGTGACATTTTGTAAGGCTCAGTGAGAGCTGGGGCATCATAATGGGTCTTGACTTATGGAAGTCTTTCCTGTGGGCAGCTGAGCTGATGTGGTCCAGGTAAATTGCTTTGCGGTGATTTCGCTTTGTGAAGGGAGAGAACATCAATAACTTGGAAGATTTTGGATTCTGTCTGTCTCGTTCTAACACCAGCTGCCTCGGCTATTCTTCTGGGAAGTTCTGGATAACAGTCCAGGCTGAGCAATGAGATGATGCCTGAGGCTCTGGGGTTTGGTCCTGTGGCTGGAGAGCGACTCGTGTGAGCAGGGCCTTCTCTCCATGGCCCGTGAGAAAGAAAGACTAGGCGCTTAGCTCGGGCCTTGTCCCAGTGGGTGGGGCAAGTTTTTAAATTTTTTTTTTTAAGATTTATTTATTATGTATACAGTATTCTGCCTGCATGTGTCCCTGCAGGCCAGAAGAGGGCACCAGATCTCATTACAGGTGGTTGTGAGCCACCATGTGGTTGCTGGGAATTGAACTCAGGACCTCTGGAAGAGCAGTCAGTGCTCTTAACCACTGAGCCATCTCTCCAGCCCAAGTTTTTAAATTTCTATTTATATTTTTTATTTGATTGATTGATTGATTGATTGACTGTGTAGGCGAGTGCACATGCTACAGTGTGTTTGGGCCAGAGAATAACTTGTAGGAGTCAGTTCTTCTCTTTCCACCTTGTAGGACACAGGGATTGAAAGTCTGTCAGGTTTGCTGAGCCATCTCACCAGCTGAGTTTTCCTTCTCTCTCTCCCTCCCCCTCTGTCTCTCACTCTCTCACTCTGTCTCTGTTCCTTCCTTCCTTCCTTCCTTCCTTTTTTTTTTTCTTTTTGCCTTTTCTGAGGTTCAAACTCCGAAGGTTTCCCATTTTTGAATGACTGCTTCCTGGGAGCCATCCAAGAAGGGTGATCATCCAGTGATCACGATGCCAGCTTACTGATTCAGAAGTGTGATGTGTTTCCTCCTAGCCGGTACAGCAGGTGCCCATGTGGGATCATAAGCATTCCCTTCTTTATCAGAGGCACTGCTTGGCAGAAGTAGTTACACACCTTTACCGTGAGAACTAAGTGAGATGCATATATAAGGCACTTAGCACAATGCCTAAGGCATTGCAATTGCTCACTTCAGGGTAGTTTGGCTGAATTTTTTTTAATTTTATTTATTTTATGTTCACTGGTGTTTTGCCTGCATGGATGTCAGTGTGAGAGTGTCAGATCCCCTGGAACTGGAGTTACAGACAGTTGTGAGCTGCCATGTAGGTGCTGGGAATTGAACCTGGGTCCTCTGGAAGAGCAGCCAGTGCTCTCAACAGCTGAGCCTTCTTTCTCTCCAGCCACCATTGGGTTTAGTTTTGAGACTGGGTCTTTGTAGTGGAGGTGGGCCTGGAACTTGCTGTGCGGACCAAACTAGCTTCCAGCTCATGATCTATCTTCCTGCCTCACCTCCCAAGATTGCAGCATGTGCTATCATGCCCAACCATGATGAGTGGGGTGGCAATGTGCTGCACAGCCCTTGGGGGTGTGGGAAATAGAGCTGGTTTCCTTAGTGACTCAGCGTTTGTGTGAACTTTGTGATTGTATTTCTGTGGCCATTTATTTGCTAAACTTACCAAAATGAGCAGGCCTGGGCTTTTCAAGCTGAATCCAATATAATCATCACAGTAGGTTTTGTTTGCAGTTGCATGTATATGTGCCTTTTTTTGAGGAGCTGTGCATGAGTACAGGTAAGGTACCTTCAGAGGCCGGAAGAGGGTGTTGGACCCTCTGGGGCCAGAGTCTCACAGACAGTTGTGAGCCACCCAGTGTGAGTGCTGTCAACCGAATTCAGGTCCTCTGAAGGAGCGGTAAATACTCTTAATGCCAAGTCATCTCTATCCCTCCACCACTGTGTTTTGGTGAGAATACTGAACAAATGAAAGAATGCAGTTGATTCGAAATAAAAATGGCTTTCAAGTAATTTGGAGACCATTTATGGGACCTATCTCTATCACTTCTCTCTTATAGAAAAGTGGCTTTGGGCTTTTGTTTGTGTTCCAGCAGGGTGGATGCCTCTGCATCCACATCTTTCTAATCCGTTATCTCTGTGGATAACCCGGGCCTGTGACTGTTTCCGTTAAGGTCCAGTAACCCACACAGCGGTCTGTGCTCCTGGTGTCAGGGGGTCTATGGTTTTGTGCGAGAATTAAAGGGACCCTTTCTTTCTCACACTTCCTCTCTAACTGTGTCTAAAATCTGTTTGTGCTTTTGGCCACAACTGCACGTAAGAATGGTCTTCAAAGAACGGTTTATAATGGCAGCTTCCTTTTTTTCCCTTTTTGGAGCCGTGATTGACAGCTGGAAGCCGTTTGCGGTGTAGGTCTAGACAGCTCTTTATTGCTGTTGGCTTCGAGCGGAAAAGAAAGGAAAGCACCTTCTTTCTTTGCTTCCACTGTTTGGCTCCCCAGGCTTTCCTACACCTTGTTCTTGCCTTTAACAAGGACATCTTGTGGTGCTGGGGTTTGAACTCAGGGCCTCACGCATCCTAAGTGAGCTCTCTACCACTGAGCGGCATCCTTAGCCCTTGGCGTTGGGGCTGCGAGGTACCTTCCAGAGGACAGTTCTTAATACCTTTGGAAAGTCTCCCTGTGGAAGGGAGCTCTCAGCCAGATATCTATGGTGAGGAGCAGATTGTGCATTCTGCCAAAGGCATGTAACTGAAGTCTTGAGGCTGTTGACAGCTGTCTGAGGGCAGGCATCTGTTTCACTGATCAGAAAAAACTGTTCCCAGCCTAGTCTTTGGTCTCCTGGAGTGCCCTCTGGAGTTCTACACTGGTCTGAAGACATCTCTCTAAAGCTCAGTGAGATAAAGTAACTGCAATAATGAAATCTGTTTGCTTTTAGGTGAAATTAAATAAAACTCCCCGGAGCCATAATACATTCTCCTGTTGGTTAGTAGTTCTGCTGATGAATGTAGCTTGAATGGTTTCTCAAAGCGTGAGCTTTATGGTGGCCACGATGTAGGGACTAATAAAGAGCCTTTGGTGGTGACCATGTTGGGAACTACTGTCCTAGGCCAGTAATGTCTTGACTGTGTTCTGTAGAGCCTCGGTGCTGGCTGAGTGGCTGTATACCGCGTACTAGCTCACACTTGGTTCACAAACTGCTACGGACTGGATTTTAGTCTATGAGAGCATTTGAACAAAAGGGATCCAGTGCTAAAAACAAACCAGCAGCCACAGTCTTATCACAGTGGCCTGTACGGTGGAGTTCCTACACTGTGGAATGCAGTGTCTCTCTAGAAAACAAGACAAATTATTTCTTTGTCTGAGATTCTCCTGTCTTCCTTTTCGCTTGCATAGAAAATGTAACTTGTGCATGGTGAGCGATCTGACTGTGTCTGTAAGCCAGCTCTGTGGGATTCAGAACTGGTGAGGAGAAAAAGAAGGAGGGACCCCTGGTCGCACTGGTGTGTATCAGCATGATACAAGTGTCTGCTCTTTTTACACCCATGCTATTCAGATTTACATATCAAGTGTAATAAGCATCATTTGTACCTAGATAGAATCCTGATTTTCTTAGCCATTCCAGTAGTTCTGAAGCACACTTTCTTCTCTTTTAGCTTCTGGAAGCATAAAGAATTTTAACAACTCCACTGCCCTCCAAAGCCCATCAGTCACCCAGACAAAGAGTACACATGTCACCAACACATTCACTAATGGTGTCCCAAGAATGCTCCGGTCTTTGACTGTCAGCATGGAACCTATAAATGAGACAGAGAGCTTGCCTGAGCACTCCAGAATTGCCATAACTTCAGCCTCAGTCCATTCTTCACCCTCTGTGGTTGACTCAAGGACACACAGCAGACTACCTGAGAGTCTGGGAGATGGAGAAGGCATGGGGCCATCTACAGAAAATGGGTTTGGACTTCCATCCGTGCACTGGCAAAGTGACTCCCACAGTAAGTAGTTCTCCTTTATTTGACTTGTGGACATTTTATAGAGTTGGATGTTCTGAGGGGGGTCTCCTCAAGACCATTTGCAGTCTCCAAGGAAAAGTGTGTCCTCAATGACATCAGATCCTTTCTGCCATGTCACACGATTGCATTTTGATCTTGGGGTGTGGACAAGTGCCATTCCTCAGATGAGAATACCAAGACCTGAAGGGCTTAAGTAAAGCAAACACAGCTTACTGAGCAGAGTGGAGACCTCAGCCCTGGGGCTCTCACGGTTCAGCCCATCTTCATCCTATAATGTCATCTGCAAAGTGAGATGCTGGCCTGCTCTTTACAGCTGGCTTCAGTGATTTTGTGTATAGATCATCTTTATAAATAAGTCGTCAGGCGTAAATGTATTTCCCAAATCATAGTTTGGCTTACTCCTTATAGTTTATTTTATTACACATCAGAAGTAGAAGAACGTTAATCAGTATTCCAGCTGTTGTTTTAGAAAAACACTCCACCTACAATATTTATGCACATTGAACTTGTTGGATGTCAGGACTCCTTCCTTGAGCTACTTTTCAAGGGACAGAGAGAAATACTGAAGCCTATAAATTACTGTTTGCCCATGCTGCCCTCAGGTCTCCTGTTCACAGCTTTAAGTTTTAATATTATTATATTGCTGACATCTAATAATTTTTTTTAAAAATTTAGAACATGGTGATGCTTGTAAGGTGACCCATATAAACACTGTCCAATATTCCTTGGCAGAGGGAAGCTTGCCTCAGAGGGGATGCCGTCTTAGTTGTTAAGCATCTTTTCCAGGTCCACTAATGACCACGCCCCACCCCAATATCTTACAGCCTTTGGAGGACATCAGCTTGCCAGCAGCTCGGAAGCAGGAAATGGAAGTGCCGTGCCTCTGACTGAACTGGCGTTTAGGTCAGTTCCCTCCATTGGTGGTGGAGAGCACACAGGACAGTGGTTCCCCACCAAGAGCAAAACATCTACAGCTCCAGCAGAAAGCTCTGCTTTGCATCCAGAAGCTGGGAGCCCTCGGACTTTGACTCAGTTCTCACACACTGCACAACAGCCCCACGGTGGGAGCTCAGGGTTGGATGGGAAGAGTTCCTCAGAGTCTTCATCCACGTCTTCCTCGGAAAGTCTGGATTCTGCAGCACCACGTGGAGGACACTCAAGTGAGTTCTTATTGCATGGGAGTCTACCGCAGGGACTTAGGATGTGTCTGGTCCTTTGATCTTCTAAAGCCTGCATTAGGAAAGTAATTTTCCTGGTTGCAGGCCATTCTCTTAGCTGGTTACTACAAATATGCCTGCATGTCCCACCCTTTTTAATCTGGTACATCTCAACTCTTTTTCTATGGTGTATGTATATGCACACACATGTGGGTGGGTGCCCAAGTGCACATGTGTAAATGGAGGTCAACCATCAGCCTTCGGTGTTGAACCTCAAAAGCAATCCACTTTTTTAGACAAGTCTGTCCCTTAGACTTGGGGATCACGATAAGGCTGGCCCCGTGTCCCTCGTGTGGAACTTCCAGGGGCACGCCGCCATGCTCGGCTTTTTAATGTGAGTGCTGAGGATTGAACTTGGGTCCTCAGGCTTGCACGGCAGGTGCTTTTGCTGACGGAGCCGTCTCCCCAGCCCCAGGTCTAAGGAGCTTTGGATGCCGCCTCCCCTTCTGTCATATAGAACTTGGGGCCCTCTGTGTCCACACCCTCCCATGGTATATAGCCTGCCCCAAACCCCAATGCCTCCTAATCACAGGACTTCTGGACATTTCCTGTCAAAGCAATCATACCATACATGGCCTTTTGTGTATTTAATTTCACACGGCCTCAGGATTCATCAAGCATGTATCTGTCCTTCTGAATAATGTTCCATCCCCTGATTATTAATATTATTAATAGTGTCCCTATGATTGTTTGGGGACACTTTATATGGAGACGTGCTGTCTTGGAATTATCAAGTTATATACTAGTATCTTTTTGTTATTGTTGTTTGAGACAGGGTTTCTCTGTGTAACAACCCTGGCTTTCTGGAACTCATTTTGTAGACCAGGCTGGCATTGAACTCAGAGATCCACCTGCCTCTGCCTCACAGGTGCTGGGGATGAAAGGTGTGCGCCACCACCACCCAGCATCCATGCTATTTTTTGATCCATGGTGACTGACACTCCACAGGCCAGGCCCTGAACTTGCCACCAGCTTCACTGATAAAACTCTGATTGTTATAATGTATCACCGAGCAAAAATCCTGGATCCCTTGGCTGGAGTAACAGTCCTTATGGTGACATTCAGGACACCCAAACAGAGAGGTGTCAGCCCTCTGGTCGCAGGTAAAGAGCCTCAGAGAAGCCTCTGGTCTCCAGTGGCCCAGAACGTGAGGCTAAAAGTCCTTGTCCCTGCATTTACCTCCCCTCTCTTTCCTGTAGCCCCGGAAGAAGATGGTGCGCTGCTGAGTGACAGCTCGGACCTGGCAGAGAGCACTTCTGTGGTGCGCGCCCCGCACACGTCTGCCATGCTCACCCGGGGCGGGGAACGCACGCTGCGATCCCTCGGCCTCTCGCGCGCTGCCGCGACCCACCCAGCGCGCCCCACTCCGCGTGGGAACGTGACGGAGCACGCGGGCCTGCTGCCCCGGGCAGCTACCCTCGGAGGTGCGTCTTCCCACGGCCGCCTTCCTGTCTGTAGATTGGCTCTCAGCCCTGGGGTGGTTACTGTTGGCTGGCAACCGGAAAAAGTAGCTTACGGCTTGCTCATTAGGAAAAGAACCTTCGGGGTTCTCCGACCGCAGAAAGCGCCCCCACCCCCCATCGCCTAGTGCTTGCTTGAGGTAGATGGGGTGACAGGTTTAAAATAGAGGAGAGAGCAGTCACTGCGGAGAAGGCCATCTCCCGGGAAGAAATACCTCATTACACAGAGTGGAAAGTTGGGAGCCTTTTCCTTTTTTCCATTTGATAATGGCAATAACTGTTTGGGATCTTGGGCGCCTTTCCATGGCAATTTGCTTTTATTGAAACATGATGTGAAGAGGGGCTTTGGAAACAGTCCCTATTTTTAGGCTCGGCACTTCGCCTTTATTCCCATGTATGTCACTAGCGCTGGTCCTCACGGGAGGGATCTGCGCTGAGCTGACCTTGGCTGTCTTAGCCTCCAGCATCGTCTTGACTGAGAATGCGTACCAAGAGGAATCACCTCTCGGAGGCAGAGTCTCCTGCACTTAAGTTCGTGGATAAGACGCGAAGAACGTTTTCCAGCGCTTGTCTCAAAGACGTCTTGTTTACTTGACCAACTTTGTCTTTTCTCTTTGTAGTCACTGGACTGAACGACGGTCAAGAGCCCGGCTCAGACGCGGAACAGAGGACGTCCGGTGACCACACCGACCACGCCTATGTTTCGTCTACTTTCACCAAAGGAGAACGGACATTACTGTCCATCACGGAAAACTCTTCCTCCTCAGACTCCGGCGAGAGCTCAACCTCTTATATTAGGATCTCAGACCCTCCACGCTTGGACTTTTCTTCTTCTCAGGCTCAGACTAAAAGAAGTAACGTGTCCTCCTATGATGGCGAACCTGCTCAGTCTTCCACCGAGTCACTGGATCTGCATACATCCCACCTTCCATCCCATACATCCACCGTTAATGTGCCAGACACCTTGGGTCTTGACGCCAGCACTCAGTCTGTTGAGGACCCCTCTGAGGCGGCCCCTTCTCCGCTCCCCTCAGTGTTACAACCCCACCAGTTTCCATCAACCTTACCATCAACCGGGTCTCCCACACAGCAGCTGAAGTCTACCTCTGAGCCAGCCACACCTTCAGCATCCTCCCCGTCACCTTCACCCATCTCCTTCGTGGTGTCAACCTTTGCCCCGCACTCTGTCCCGCAAACGACCGTCCCACATTCATCTTCTCCCCTGATCCCACACAGGGCAAGGGAGCCACGTGTAACTTCAGTCCAGATGTCAACAGTGGTATCCCCTGTAGTGGTGTTCCTCAGTAACCAGACAGCAGACCCCAAGAACCAGAGCACCCCACAGCAAGACAAAACCGTCACGGAAGCAAAGTCACCAAGCCTGGCGTCTCTGCCCACGGACTCTACCAAGCCAGTAACGATGAGCCTTCCTCCAGGGACCCCTTGGTCCCCAGCCTTAATGGGGTTCTCCACAGAGCCAGCCCTTCCAGCCACAAGCACCAGCTTAGCCCAGATGTCTCCAGCTTCGACGTCTCCCATTTCCCAGACGACTCGCTCTCCTGTGACCAGTCCCAGCACCGTGTCAAGTACGGAAGCTTTGACCCCAGGGGCTGTCATTGTGCCCACTACCCCTGACCCTGAGGAACAGCACCTGCCAACCAACCCTGAAATTCTAGTGCTGCAAACCTCAACAGAACAGGCCGTCACCACAGAAGGGACCCGGGTGCATATGGATCCTACCACTCACTCTGCCTCTCTGACCACTACTCCCACATCGGCAGAAGTGACCACAGAGCTGGGCCAGGCAGAAGAGGCCAGCCCGGTTTCACCTTTTCTCAGAACATCTTCACCTCAAGCTACAGATGTTTCTACAGCCGCAATGTTGACTTCCGAATATACCACCTTGGCTGCTCAGAGCCCCGCACAGTCACCAACAGCTCTGTCGCCTCCAGCCCCAGGTAAAAGCATCTTACAAACACACACACACTGACCGTCAGGCCCTGACCGGCACTAGAGCTGCCAAGGGCTGGGGGTCTGTGTGAACGTGCAGACGTGGCTAGTGTTTGAAACAATGTCTGTCCTATGACCGAGAACGACTCTTATTGAAATACGAAGCATAAAGTATGGGCAGTGTGGGCCTAATTTTCTCCTAGTATACCCCCCCCCCCCCCCCGCCAAGTTCCATGATTCTTTCTGAAGAAAGAGGAGAGAGGACGGACACTTGGGCCCTGTGTGACGTGCATAGAGGCTATAACCGTTGCCTTTCATGCTCTGTTATTGTCCAAGCTTTTTAAGCGTATCTTTAACTCATCTGAGGTCAGAGCCAGGCATAGATGTGGGTTTGGACAGTGGAGAGATTGAAGAGGCAGTGTTAGCGGGACTAGGATGTGGAATGGGGGTAGAGCGCTTGCCTAGCGTGTGCACAGTCTCCAGCAAGTTCTCCAGCACCGCCCAAGAAAAAAGAAGCTCTCTAGGTGGTCCGTTAGGGGTAGAGCTGAATTGAATGCCTGCTCTTCAGAGACAGTCCAGAGCTTCCAAGCCAGTCAGCTCAGGGTCTTTCAGGGTCAAAGGCTTCTCTCCATCCAGGGAAGCCCAGAGTTCTTTGTCCCCTTGATGTTAGTTGGTAACCAGAGGACGTGAAAACAAAAGGATGTTCGGCAAACCTCTTCCCAGTGTTTCTTTACCTTGTACATAAGATTATCTGCACAGCCGTGTTGAAGGTGCCGGTATAAGGGAAAGAAAGCTAACCCGGGGCAAAGAGAGGTAGAGGCAGGAAGTGGTGTTCACAGGGCACTTGTAGTTGACCCAGACTCGGTGAGGGAGAACCACCGTTGAAGACGGCAAGATGGACGCCATCTTAAGTAAGAGGGAGAGGAGGAGCTGCCGTGGGGCCGCTACAGCAGAGAGCTCAGTTAGTGGTACAGTCTCCGTGAGTCAGTGAAGACGAACCTGGGGTGCAGGGTCAGAAGCCATCCCCACGGCTAGTCAACGGTGCCCCCTTCTCAGCCATCCGAGTATGTCCAAGAAGTGAAAGATGAATCACTTCTCCAGAAAAAACATCTTCATTTCCACTGGCCAATGCGTTCAATCCCAGGTTCACCAGACTCCCTGAAGGCAAGGGTTTAGTTGCTACAGTTCCTGTGGGTGGGTGTCTGCAATACAGTCACTGGAAACTACAGGATTATGTAATGGGCACCACATTTAATCATATAGATAGAGGCTCTGCTCACATAGGTGATGCTGGGTGACAAAGTGTGGGGCTGGAGAAATGACCCAGTGTCTGTTTATGGAGGGCATGGTGTTCTTATTCCCAGTACCCACACCAAGCAACTCACAACCACTTGTATGATTCCAACACCAGGGGATGCAATACCTTCCCCTGGCCTCCAGAAGCAGTGCGCCCACGTGCTCCTGCCCATCCCCCACATACACATAATTTCAGAAAAGCAAATTTCAGCCATAGCTGTGAAGAAGAGGACTGCCCTGTCTAGAGCAGCCCATTTGTTTCAGCTTACTCTTTGAAGGTCCGACTTCTGTTTTCTTTCCCTTGTTCCCCAAGGATTTCCTCCCTGCAAATGATGATGCCATTTTGTAGGCTTGGGGCTTTTCTAAGAGTGTTTCAAAACCCCCAGGCATTTCACAGCTGGAGCACGGCCCTTCTAATTACATAGAAGAAAACAGAGTGGGCATCATGGGGCAGGGAATGAATAAGAGGCCAAGGGGACAGTAGAGTTTAACCACAGAGGCCCCCATGACTTCAGATGGGGCCTGTTTTTGTATATGGAAAGGAAGGGCTGATGGGACACCTGTGACCCTAGCACTTGGAAGGCAGAGACAGGAGGATCAGAAGTTCACTGTCGTCCCAGTCTACCTAGGAGTTTGAGACCAGCACGAACTCCATGAGACCCCGCCTCAGACAGTAAAGAAAAAAGAAGAGGCTTGGCGGTGTTTAACTGATAATTTTCCAGATGGTGTACAATCTGTGGAGGAGGCCAGGTTCAATTTCAAGACATCTGGAAGCTGAACATGGTGGTGAATGTGTATAATCCCAGCGCTTGGGAGGTACCAAGTTAGGTGGGCCAGGGGTTCAATGCCAGCCTGAGCTTTATAATTAATTTGAGGTCAGCCTGGGCTACATGAGACCATCTCAAAATAAAACAAACAACAAAAAGCATAGCAACTACAAGTATATATGTTTCAAGATTTCCAGATAAAGGTTTCTATAGTTTTGACAAAATCCAAGAGAAAAAGTAAGCCGTGAGTATGTATTTGTGTAAACACAGAGTGAATCTTGGAGCAGGCAGGATAAATTGAGCAGGGATTCTTTCCACCTTAAAATGTGTTTTAAGTAGACATTCACTAGTCTAGTATCACAAAGGCCATAGAATTATCAGTCCTGCACTGACTGGCTTGCAGGGAGCATTGAATGTGCTTCTTTGAATTTGGGGATCTAATTATCTAACACTTAACATGAACACACACTAGTATCAGTGCCCGGCTTCATCACCTCTGTCTTCAAACCTCTTGGGACTCTGTTCTATTTTAGTGGTGTGATTTTTCAGGGCAAGCAAACGAACATAGGCAGGAAGCAAACATTAGCTGTGAGAACGAGTTGTTTACCGGGGCCGCTCTGACATGTCTGTGTTATTCCTGCGATGTGTTCAGTCAACAGCTGTACCGTGAACCCCTGTCTTCATGATGGCGAATGTCTCGTGGACCTCACCGGTCGTGGGTATCGATGTGTGTGCCCTCCTGCCTGGCAAGGGGACAACTGCAGTGTGGGTAAGAGAGACAGGGACATTTATTATGATGTTACCGTGGGTTGTCGGGCTATTCAGTAAGATCTTTTTTCCAGGGTGGACAGCGAGTACTGTGCTCACTGAGGACCGAAGTTTGGGTCCTATCATCCATATCAGGCAGTTCAAAACTGCCTGTAATTTTAGTTCCAAAGGAATTAGATACCTCCGGCTTCTGGGGGCACCTGCACTCATGTGTTCACATACATATACATAATTGAAAACAACAATTTTTTTAAAGAGCCTTTTTTCTTCTAGAGTGTACTCAGGTAAGATTTTTAGTTTAATAGCCTCCTTGCTTGAGTGTTAGCATGCTTGTGTATTGTATATGATAATATGAAGGACCACAGCATGATACAAACAAACTCTTGACCTGGTTCTATTCCGTAGCTTCTCTACGCCCCTGCAACACCCGACCATCTGAAGCTCCCTAAAGACACCTGCCCTTCCCTGCCCTGGGCATCTACTTTGCTGGTCCCTCAGCTTGGAACCCTAGCCTACTCCCCAAAATCTGCTTGTCGAAGTTCCGTTAGTCTTATTTATATTCAAATAGTATTTAAAGCAGTCTTTAATTCTCCCCTGCATCAAAGCTTACTATTTCTGCTGCGTGTGTCTTTAATCCCAGCACCCAGGCACCAGAAATAGTGGGATCTCTGTGAGTTCAAGGCCATCTTGGTCTGCATGGTGAGTTCCGGGCCAGTCAGGCATAAAAGGATGAGACCCTGTCTCAAAACAACAACAACAAAACCAACAACAAACAATAAACTAGACCTATGTTCAGCTCTGTACATCCAAACCCTGTCTCATATTCTAGTTAATTCTTCATATGGCTGCCTCTGCCCTGATCGGTAGTCGTCCCCTGGAGGACAGGGTGGTTTCCTGCTCTTCTTTTGCCCCACACGCCACAGAGTGCCACTTGGTTCTCAGTAGGCACTGGATTATAACTCTTTGTCTGCCGCCCATCAACATGCTCTCCTTTGTCCTCCGCAGATGTGAATGAGTGCCTCTCCAGCCCCTGCCCACCCCTAGCCACCTGCAGCAATACTCAGGGATCCTTCAGCTGCAGATGCCCAGTCGGGTATCAGTTGGAGAAAGGAATATGCAATCTGGGTAAGAGAGTGAACTCTATCTTGGCACTTCCTGTTTTTCTTCCTAATCACAGCCAATGTTTTTTTTTTCCCCAAGATATAAAATGCAGAAATATAGAAGGAAGTGAAGCACAGTGCCTGTTACTCTAATACTTTTCTTCAGAGTTTGTTGATGTACGTTCTATTTTTACAAATTAAATTCAAGATACATCCGTAAGTATATGCAGGTTACTAAAAAGCACAAATATCTTAATGCCTGTGTAACAGGCTCATGTGTGCATAACATTACTTGCTCAACCATTCTACCCTGCAGTTAAGGAAATAAAAAGACCCGGAGGATATTTAGAGTACATAGTTGTTTTGTTTTGTTTTTGCAATTTTAGAGTGAGAACAGAGTAAAGTTCTGATTGCCCTCTGTGTGCACACATTCTTCTTGTTTTTAAAAGTGGTCCTCAGGTTGTTAGACACAGACATACATTTTGACACAGCTGCTGCTGAAATTGGCCTACCATATTGGCCTTATTTTGTTCCTCATTTGGTAGGTCCATGGAGCTTATTGGTTTTAAATTCATTCTTCATCTTACAGGTTTTAAAAAAAAAACAAAAAACATATCAACAAACCCAGTGAGAACTAAGGTTCTCAAGAGAGGCTCGGCAGCCAAGCTTGGGTCACCGGGGATGAGTCCCGGTTCTCAGGCTGCAGTTCTTTCTGTTATACAAGAGTGTGTTCGCTGTAAGAACGTTCTTGCACACAGGGCGTGACCCTTGTTAGGTTGCTGAACTAATACCTTGCTTGCTGGAGAAATTCGAATGAGAAATACAGTTTCAAAGCTGTGGAAAGAAACTAGGTGAAATGGTCTGCCTTTGAGTCAGCTTTGGCTGCCCAGTGTGGCACTTCATGCATGAGTGCTCAGTCACTGTTTTTAGAGAATGGATGCCTGTGTCTTCTGCAAGTGTTGCCTGCATGAATTCCTATTACCCAGAGGCAGAAGGGGCTTCGTAAGGCTGACACTTTCCTAAAATAAAAATTTTGAAAATTGTTTGAAATACAGGAATTGAGCGTTATTTCAGAAAGAAAAATCTACAGATACAGACATGAGTCAAAGTCAAGAATTGTTCTTATTGTAATAGTTGATATGCATTTGGGTAACCTGGTTCATGTAGCCCCACCCTGTAGGGAGCTAGAGGAGAGTGTGCAGTCAAAGGATGGAGATGGGGATACTTTCATTTTCATTTGTGTTTTGAAGCCCTGTGGAAAGTACACCTGCCAGGTTTCAAGTGCCCGGCTTCAGGCTCCCAGCTACCACCTGCAACACATAGCCAGAACCTCTTATTTCCTCATCTGTAAAATCAGATTGCAGTCTGCTCCACCTCTCACTCAAGGTTTTGGGAATGTCGAATGAAATGACCTGTTTGAGCAAGCTCTGAGTGTGGTAAAGAGTGGTCCAGCTGGGAGGCAGCATCCACCAGACTGGATGCTATGAAAGCCGACTGCTCTCAATGCAGAGTAGTTGTTATAGGCAGTTAAATTGAGATACAAATCTGTCGTGGGCCAGTGAGAGGGTTCAACAGGTAAAGGCACTTGCTGCCAAGTTTGACCATCTGAATTCGATTCCTGGGATTCACATGGGAGAAAGAGAGAACCAGTTCATGCACGCTGTTCTCTGACTTTCACACGGGTACTTTGGCACACGCACGCACATGCACGCACGCATGCCCAAAGCACACACAAAGTAAATAAATGTAGTAATTTTTTCCAATGCCTGTCTTAAAGCTAGATGATGTAACTGCAGCCGTGGAAGTTGTCTTGAGTACGCTAACTATATTAGAAACACGGACACATCTGTGTCTTTCCACAATGTCAGAATTTATTGAGGAACAATGAATTCACAGGCTACTTCAATTTCATTTGCCTATAATTTGCCAAGTTATTCTGATTTCCCTTGATAGCTGGCCGTTGGCAAGCGTAGGTTCTTCTATTCCAAATTGAATTACTAATATTAACTCTGAGATTAATGACGTTACACATCACAGTGTGTGTGTGTGTGTGTGTGTGTGTGTGTGTGTGTGTGTGTGTGTGTGT